AGTGTCGGGGCGCAGTGCAGCTGGACATGCGGAAGTAGGCACGGTGTTCACGCTCCCACTCCAAAGGTGGGCACACCCTAGTGCTCACCAGTTGTGCATGTGTCCTGACAGTGGCAAGGAAGATCTGAGTGAAACAGATGAGGGCACCCTTGTGGGTTCCAGCATCCTCACAGGGAACTGGGCCCACCGTGGTGGCGCATGCCTTTAAACCCAGCCCTCGGCACTGGGGAGGCAGAGGCCGCCAGTTCTCTGAGTTCTGGGACAGCCAGGGCGACACAGAGAAACCTTGTCTCAAAACACAAAACAGAACAAAAAAAAAAAAATCCTGGGCAGGAGAGAGAGCTCAGTAGTTAAGAGCACTGGCTGCTCTTCCAGGCGGCCTGGGTTTAGTTCCCAGCACCCACATGGCGGCTCAAGACTGTAACTCCAGTTCCAGGGGTTCTAACACCCTCACAGATACATTCACAGGCAAAACACCAAAGCACACAAAATAAAAATAATAAATAGGATGAGGTAAGCTGGAGCGGAGGGCAGGGAGGTGAAGCGCTGTACATAGCATTCACACCTGTTCACACCTGTCCTCGCAGTGTCTCAGGTGCCAGCAGGAGTGTGAGCTTCAGAAAACCTGGTTTGTGCAGTGAGGATGTGCAAACAGAACAAAACAAATCCAAAGGGGAAGAGAGAGGAGGGAGGGAAGGGAAGAGGGGGGGGTGGGGAGAGAGAGGAGGGAGGGGAGAGGGGTAGAAGGCACCTACCTGAGGGTTCTGTCTGCAAGGTGTGGTTCACTGTCTCTGGAGACCAGGCTCAGACCTGCAGGGGCGGGAGGTGGGGGGTGCCCTGTGGTTGGACTCTGAGCCCGCCCCCATCTTTTTGTGCCATCTGGGGTACTGCAAGCACCACACGGAGCTCAGGGAAGAAGCTGTTGTCACAGCCTTATAGATGGTGCAGGGGTCAAGGTCCCCGAGAGTTAATGAGTTACGGGGTAGGAAGAGAGGTCACCCAGCCTGGGTGCTAGCTGGAATTCCAGGAACCTGGGCTTCCAAGCATGGAGAGACTCCTGTGCAGGAACTGGGGAGGGTGGCGGGTAATCACGCCCATCAGTCAGAGTTGAGGGGTCTGCCACCCAGAAATCAAATCCACCCCTTTCTTCCATTCTCTCCTGACACCAGAGCTCAGCACTGATAGAAGTCTGCAGCTCCCTCGTTAGTTTGGGAGGGGCTCTCTACGGAGACCAGGCTGGCTCACAGAGATCTGCCTTCTTCTGCCACCCGGAATGTGTGGATCACCACGCCGGGCATTTCTCTCAGCTTTTTAGCTATGTTTGCTCAATAACATTTTATTTGAATTATTTTAGTTTTTAGGCAGTGTTTCATGTAGCCCAGGCTGGCCTTATACTCTCTCTGTAGCCAAGAATGACCTTGAATTCCTGATCTCCCAAGTACTGAGAAGTCAGGCCTGCTCCATCACGTCTGACTCGTTTGGAGTTTTGAGACAAGGTCTCACTATGTAGCCCAGGATGACTCGGAACTTCTGGCAGTCCTCCTGCCTCAGCTTCTCAAGAAGAATGGCAGGCACATACTACCATGCCTGATACTGCTCTTCAGAGTGTGTGTGTGTGTGCGTGTGTAGGCCCAAAGTTGCTGTCCAGTGTCTCCACTTGTCACTCTGCACTTCTGTTTACTTACCAAGGTTTCTCACAGAACCCAGAACTCACTGGCTCCCTCTGGTCCAGCAAGCCAGCTTGCCCAGGACCCAGGGAATCCCTGTCTCAGCCTGAGTTATCAGAGGATGCCAAAATGGCAAAGTCACTAGATTTTACCCCCTGAACCACCTTTTCCAGGTCTTGCTGTGCACCCATGTTGGTCTCTGATGGCAAGGCTCCTTCCTCAGCTTAAGTGCTAGAGTGACAGGCATGCACCACCTCACCTGGCATGGCTCTACTTGTTCAATGTTCGTGTGTGTGTTTGTGTGTGTGTGTGTGTGTGTGTGTGTGTGTGTGTGTGTGTGTGCAGGTACAATTATTTTTTAGCCAAATACTTTGCACAGATCTTATGCAGTCTTGAAGTCAGAACGATGGGTTTGTGGCCCCCACTCCCTGAGAATCCCTGCACATGCTCCCCACCACACTGGCTCAGGAGACCCACTCTCCCCCTCCTGATGTTCTGACACAAGTTCTTATTTCCCCAGAGGAGAGTCACAGGGGTCAAGAATTCCCCGCCTCTCCTCCCAGACCTCCTCCCTCCCAGTGGGCCCTGGTCCAATCATGGCTTCCTGGTTACCTCCCAGCACTAAATGCTGCTGTGCAGCAACATCGCAGAGACTGGACCCTTCCCACATCCCCACCAGACCAGAAGCAGGAATGACTGATCTCCCTCCCACACACAGCGCCCCCAGCCACGGGGCAAATCCTTTCTATTCAGACCTGCAGGTCACCCACCTCCACTGGACAGGGTAAACAGGTCCACAAAGGACAAACCAAATCCAGTAGCCGGAAAGAGGTCACCGGTGGTAAATCACACAACCCTTGTATTTCAGGCTGGAGTAAAACAATGGAACCAGGAAGAAGCCCAGGGTGAGGTGTGGGGTGGACACAAGCCTGGCCACCTGAGTTCCATCCCAGGGACACCTACAAGTGTCCTCCGACCTCCGCACACACGCCTGAGTATATGCAATCATAAATATTTTTAAGATGCAATTTTTAAAATATGTGTTAAATAGGAACAAAACCAAGAAAATGAGTGCTTATGCAGAGGCAGAAGCAGAAGTAAGGGAGAGCACTTGGAGATCCAGTTTCAAAAGTTGGGCCCCAGTTTTGGAGGCAAGCTAATGCACCTCCCCTCTTCCCTCCTCCCTTTCTGCCTTCCACAGAAAGGATGTCGCAATCCCAGCTAAAAGACAAGCCAGGTTTGTTCTAACTCCCAACCACCCCTGTGCCCCAAGAGGCCAGGAAAACTGAGTGGTTTACAGGAAATCATGAAACTTTCCCCTTAACCCCTTCAGGGGTGTTCGGGAATACCTGTTCTTGGATTGGGCATCACCACCTTGGTTTACAATGTTCCCACACAGCCATTCGCAGTTCAGTCACAGAGGACAGTGTGGTGGGTGGTGGTGGTGGTTGTGGTGGTGGTGGTGGTTGTGGTGGTGGTGGTGGCAGATAGATAACTCCATTAGGGTCCAGCTACTGCCCAAGACTCTCAGAAAGTTGCTGGGCAGGTGGGTGTTGTTAGGTTGGAAACGTAGGTCCCAGTCCCTCGCATCTACCCAGCCCCCAGGCCTGGTCTGAACTTCAAATCCCTGCAGGGTACTTAAATGATCCCCCAAAAGAGAAACACGTGGTCTCCCTTTCTTCCTCCTGGGGGTCATGTTTCTGTGGCTTCCTGGTTTCCCCCTTGGAGCCAGATCTCCCATTAAACCTGGATATTTCTTAATTTGGCTTGTTTTGATTTGGCTTGATTGGGAATTTTTGCCTCGTCAGAGAACTAATATTAAGAAATATTCCTAACAGGTGTAACCACCCTCCACCTCCGCACTCCAGAGCTGGAGGCATGCTGGGTGGACTGCTTGCCTAGCAAACATGAAGTCCTGAGTTCCATCCTCAAAACCACATAAACCAGGCATGGTGAGAACCTGTCACCCCAGCATACAGGAGGTGATGCAGTAGAAGCAGGGGTTGAAGGTCACCTTTCTTTACATGGGGACTCTGAAGTCAACCCAGGCTACAGAAGACACTATCATAAACCAGAAAAACAAAGAAAAAACAGATTTCGTAGCTGCCCCTTTAATCCCATTCAGCACTTTGGAGGCAGAGGCAGGAGGACCTCTGAGTTCTCAACCAGCCAAGACTACATAGGACCCTTTCTCAACAGATCTGAAATTCATCAAGCATGGCTTAACAGCCAGGCCCGAGGGAAATTGGCAATTCACTTCTGGAATTTACAATCCAGCCAGCAGGTGTCTAAATCTGTAGAACCCTCAGAGAGCAAGCTGGCAAGATCTAGCAAGCCTTCCTACAGTAAGCCCAGGGAGACACCAGCTATGCTGACACTGTACTTGGCAGGAAGAAACCGAGGCCCAGGGCTCTTCTATACCTGGAGAGTGGCAGCTTAGACAGGAAGTGGCTACCAGTGAGTCCAGGCTCTGAACTGGCCGGTGACAGACGGGCTGCTTTCACACAAGGACAGTTGACAGGAGTGGTAAGAGTTCTGTGAGCATTGATCTGGAACAATCTTTGAGGAAAATCTTTTACACACAGAAAACACACACTATTCAGGGAAGCCGGAAGAACACAGAGGGGCGGCTAAGAGTTACTGTTGAAGTTGTGGTTGGACATTGGCCTTTCTCTAGGAACAAAGTCTGTGGGGCCAGACAGATGGCTTATTGATTCCCATCCAGCACTGGTTGCCCATCTGAAGAATTCTTGTTTGATTCCCAGCACCCTATTCAACTCACCCAAACATCTGAAATTCCAGTTCTAGGGGATCCTACGTCTTCTTCTTTGGTACGTCATGGTGACCCTCGCCAACCAAAGAATTATTTTCATTGCTACTTCATGACTGTAATTTTGCTTCTGTTATGAATTGTAATGTAAACACCTGATATGCAGCCCATAGAGGGGTCATGACCCACAGATTGAGAACTGCTGGTTTAGCAAGACCTGTGGGTGGTGGTGGGGGACGGGGAGAACCAGACAAACAGACAAGCTCTGGTGCTGGAACCAACTCAGTGTGGAAGGAGTCACTGTAGACTTCAATTGTATTTTTTTTTTTACTGTAACCAAGTACAATAGGGATCAGCCAAGGTTCGGCATTTGGCCTTGACCCCAAGAGGAACCTGAGGCAGGCAAGTGCCAGGGAAATGTGCCTTGGGTTACTCACCCCAAGACATGCTGGCCCCAGGCTTGTGAAAAGCTTAGGAAACCGTGTTGCAAAATCTGGGGCAGTCCCTGGGTGCAGGAACAGGGAGGGCCCAGAGGAGGAGGTCCACATAAGAGGCAGTCCTCTGCAGCCCGGCTCACTCCTGCCTACCCCTGCCCCTCACCTCCCTCACTCCCTCCACCTTAGTCCTCCACTATGGGACCCGCTTCAGGGCCCCAGCTGCTGCTGCTGCTGCTGCTGGCTGGCTCCCACTTGGCTCTGGGGAGTCCCATGTAAGTCATTACCTTCTGGGGTGCAGTTCCGGGTAGACTTTCTAAGTTACCTGGGCGAGAGTGAGCTTTGTGGGGGAAGGGTACAAGATATGGGTGTTAGGAATTTGTGCTGGGGGCTGGGAGATGGCTCGGTGGGGCAGAACTCTTGCTGCATGAACATGACCCTTGGTCAAACTCCCAGCACCCATGGAAAAGCCAGGAGTGACCTCAGTGCCCGTAACCTCACACTCTATGGGGCTGGAGACGGGATAGCTGGGGCTTACTGGCGGCCAGCCCAGCACCAGGTTCAGAGAGAGAAGACCTTGGCTCGAGGGAGTAAAGTGCGTGAGTGAGAACACAGGACACATGACATCGTCCTCAGGCCTCCACACACATGCATGTCACGAGCATGCACACGAACGTATGAACACACAGGGTATTTACAGGCTCATGATCATTGAATCCCCTACTGTAGCATTGGGGTGCCTACTTATAGAAAAGAAGATCTGTAGATTTGGGGTGTCTGTGATGCCTCATGGTTTAGGCAATGGTGAGTTTGAGTGAATTGTGAATTGGGGCATTGTTGGGGTCTGCAACCCTTGACTGTATGGACTGTCAAAAGCCAAGCTCAGACAGGGCCTGATGACTCTGGCCTGTTATCCCAGCTACTCTGGAGACAGAGAGAGGCAAGAGGCATGCACATTCTAGGCAAGCCTGGTCTACAGAATGAATTCAGGGCTAGCTTGGGCAATTTAGCAAGACTCCGTCTCCAAATAGAAGAGTGAGAAGAGGCTGAGTGTAGCTCGGTGATAGCGCACTTGCTCCCGCGAGCCAAGTGCTAAAACCAGGGAAAGCCAGCTTCCAATGACTGAGGGGGAGGGAGAGGGAGGGAGGTGATGGTCCTTGGGGAGGAACATGGATCCAGGCGTCTGTTCTGGCAGCCAGCACTGAGAGCCCCCCAGAACCAGTGACAGGGCACTGACAGGTGAGGGCTGGAGTCTGCAGCCTTGAGGTGACATCTGCTCCGGTACTCCTCACACAGGTATTCTATCATCACCCCCAACGTCCTGCGGCTGGAGAGCGAAGAGACGATCGTGCTGGAGGCCCATGAGGCACAGAACGACGTCCCAGTCACAGTCACTGTGCACGATTTCCCAAAGAAGCAGGTGCTGACCAGCGAGAAGACAGTGCTGACAGGCGCCAGTAGACACCTGGGCACCGTCACAATCAAGGTGAGCAAGGGAATGTGGAGCTACAGACAACTACAGCCCCTTAGGTCCAGCCTGAGTTCTCTCCCCTGAGTCCCTCTCCTCTGAGCCCCTCCCCTCTGAGCCCCGCCCCCTGGGGCCCTCCCCTCTGAGTCCCCACACCTCTGAGCCCCTCCCCTTAGAATCTGCCTTCTAAGTCCCTCCCCTCTGAGAACCACCCCTCTGAGTCCCTCCCCTCTGAGGTCCGCCTCTGAGTCCCCACCTCTCTGAGCCCCACCCCTCTGAGTCCCTCCTCTCTGAGGTCCGCCCCCTGAGCCCCTCCCCTCTGAGCCCCACCCCTCTGACCCCTGGCCCTCTGAGGGGAGACACAGGAGGTCCAGAGGCTCCGACTCCTGACTGCCCCTCCCCCACCCATATGCAGATTCCCGCCAGTAAGGAGTTCCAGACAAATAAGGGTCAAAAGTATGTGACAGTGGTGGCGAGCTTCGGACCAACGGTGGTGGAGAAAGTAGTGCTGGTGAGCTTCCAGAGTGGGTACCTCTTCATCCAGACAGACAAGACCATCTACACCCCAGGCTCCACAGGTAAGTGGTACTGGTGGCTGCACACACCAGGGCTGGAGGACCCTCCCAGAGCCTGAAGTCTAATGGAACTCACTTGTCTCTCCCACACCATCCAGTCCTCTATCGGATCTTCACTGTAGACAACACGCTACTGCCCGTGGCCCGGACGGTTGTCATCACCATTGAGGTACCAGCTACTGAGTTTCCCAGAGAGCCTCAGAAAGGGGCAAATGGCTACGCTGCTTGGCTAGTGCAGAGAAGCCAGAGACCTAGGGATACCCATAGGAAGATCATAGACACGGGATCTGAACCCAGAGAAACTCCCTGAGCCTGTTTCCCCATCGGAAAGTTGGGATGACCCTTAATATTAACTCTATGTAGTCTAGTCTGCCCAGTAGAGGACCCCTGAGAAAGCCCTCCCTCTTCTCCCCCCACAACACTCAAGTGGCTCCGAGGCCCTGCTGATCCTGCCTTCCCTCCTTGCCTTCCTCCTCCCTCTGTTTCTCATTCCCTCTGCTACACACACACACACACACACACACACACACACACACATACACACCACCCCTGACCTTGTAAACACCCAAGTATTTGCTGGATGAACTGTGTCCTAAGCCAGTGAGGTCAGGACCCTTTATACATACATAGAATGCACAGCACAGAGAGGTTGAGCCATCTACCTGAGATCACACAGCTTGTAAGTGGCACAGTAGGGATTTGAACCTAGGCTGAGTGACCAAGGTCTGTGTTTTTAACTGCTACCTCAGCAGACATAGGAGATGGTATGATTGGACCCCTCAGAGTTGCTTTATCCCATATGCCTTTCCTAACTCCTTACAGACCCCCGATGGCGTGACCATCAAGAGAGACACTCTGTCTTCTCAAAACCAGTATGGCATCTTACCCTTGTCTTGGAACATTCCAGAACTGGTCAAGTATGTCTGGGCCTCCAGGAACGGGACTCCCCTGTCCCAGGAGAGGGATGGGGAGGTACTTGGAGGCCCAGTGGGTCATGCTCCTCATCCCCTTGCAGCATGGGACAGTGGAAGATCCGAGCCTTCTACGAGCACTCACCACAGCAGACCTTCACCGCGCAGTTTGAGGTGAAGGAGTACGGTAAGTCCTGGGGGACCCGGCAGGCTCGGGATAAAAACAAGGCCACTGTGCCTGGGCTGCCCTGGCAGCCCTGCCAACGCCATCTTTGCCATCTCCACACCCCACCCCAGTGCTGCCCAGTTTCGAGGTCCTGGTGAACCCTGCAAAGCCATTTTATTACATCGACGACCCAAAGGGCCTGGAAGTTTCCATCTCAGCCAGGTGAGGGTTGAGGAAGTGCATAGGGGAATGGGTTTCCAGCCACAGTCAGAGAGGTCTTCAGAAACCGAATTATTCTTTTCTCACAGGTTCCTGTACGGGAGGAACGTGGACGGGATGGCCTTCGTGATCTTTGGGGTCCAGGATGGCGACAAGAAGTTTTCTCTGTCCCAGTCCCTGCAGCGTGTGGAGGTACTGCCCCAGCCCCTGACAGCCTGGAACCTTGCCGTCTCCCCTGAGACCACGCCCCCGCCCCAGAAACCCCTCCCATCTCTAAGCCCCTCCCAGTCCTTCCTCTTGGTGAACCTAGCCACCAGTCCCGAGCTCCTCCCCTTCCCAGCTCCTCTCTTGGGGACCTTCTCCTCTCCCTCAGGCTTCCCTATCCTCTGCAGATCGATAACGGTTTTGGGGAGGCAGTGCTGAAACGACAGATACTGCTGGATGGGGTACAGCCCCCCAACGCTGATGCCCTGGTGGGGAAGTCCCTGTACGTCTCCGTCACCGTCATCCTGCACTCAGGTAAGGCCTGTTGAGGTGAGGGAAGTCAGACCCCAATGCCGGGCTGCTGGGGAGCCTGCCCGGACCTCTACCACTCATCCCCTCAGGCAGTGACATGGTGGAGGCAGAGCGCAGCGGGATCGCGATTGTCACCTCCCCCTACGAGATCCACTTCACCAAGACACCCAAATTCTTCAAGCCAGCCATGCCCTTCGACATCAAGGTAAGATGAGGGGCCCGTCCCCACTTCCACCTGCAGGCCCTCCGACCACACCTCCTGACCCTTCCCCGCCCGCCTCTGTCCACAGGTGTTTGTGACCAACCCTGATGGCTCTCCAGCCCCTCGAGTGCCAGTTGTCATTGAAGGATCTGATGCACAGGCTGTCACCCAAGATGATGGTGTGGCGAGGCTGAGTGTCAACACTCCCAACAACCGCAATAAACTGACCATCAAGGTGAGTGTCCAGAGCTCAGAGCCTAGTCTCCACAGCCAGAGAACTACTCAGGGCTCTGCTGGCTTCGTGACGGGTTCCGTGGGTCACCCAGAGGATCCCACATCGCTGTAACAAAAGAACTGACAAAAGCCACTTCAGGAAGGAAGGTGTCCAGAGAGTCCAGTGACTGGGTGGGCGCGGAGGCAGGAGGCTGCCTAAAGCAGCTGTTCACACGCCGTTCACAGAGATGAGCACTAGCAACTTCAGTCCAGTCCTCTAGCTCAGGGGAGGGCGGTGCCACCCACAGGGTGGGTCTTCCCAACCTAGAAACCCCTCACTGGCATGATCAGAGCTCACCTCCTGGTGGATTCCCCACGCTGTCAAGTTGTCAGTCGATATCAACCATCCCAGAGCCTGTGTGAGCTTCAGGGATTCCACCCTGGGCAGCGCTGGGAACCAGCGTGCCTCCCTCTTCCCCACCTAGGTACGCACTAAGGACAGTGATATCCTGGACGCACGACAAGCAACCAACACCATGACGGCACAGCCCTATGGCACTATGCACAACTCCAACAACTACCTGCATCTGTCAGTGTCTCGTGAAGAGCTCAAACCAGGGGACAACCTCAAAGTCAACTTCCACCTTCGCACAGACCCCGGCCAAGAAGCCAAGATCCGCTACTACACCTACCTGGTCTGTGGTCACCAGAAGCCTGAGCTCCCCTACATGACTGTCCAGCATCCTAAAGATCCCTGCCTGGCCCTGGGGTCTCCCCTGCCCATCCTAGGGATCCCTGCCCAGCCCTGGGGTCTCCCCTACCAATCCTAGGGATCCTTGCCCAGCCCTGGGGTCTCCCCTGCCCATCCTAGGGATCCTTTTCCAACTCCAGGGTCTCCCCTACAATCCTAGGGATCCCAGCACAGCCCTGGGGTCTCCCCTACCAATCCTAGGGATCCCTTCCCAGCTCCAGGGTCTCCCCTGCCTATCCCAGGGATACCTTTCCAGCCTCGGGCTCTCCCCTGCCCATCCTAGGGATACCTTCCCAGCCCCAGGGTCCCCTACCCATTTCACCTAGCCCCATTCTGGTTCTCATGCCAGCCCATCATCCCTTCAGATTATGAACAAAGGGAAGCTACTGAAGGTGGGCCGCCAGGTTCGGGAGCCTGGCCAGGACCTGGTGGTCTTGGCCCTGCCTATCACCCCAGATTTCATTCCTTCCTTCCGCCTGGTGGCTTACTACACCCTGATTGGAGCCAATGGCCAGAGGGAGGTGGTGGCAGACTCTGTGTGGGTGGACGTAAAGGATTCCTGTGTAGGCACGGTGAGGACTCTCTCTCTCTCTCTCTCTCTCTCTCTCCATCTTCTCTCTCTCTCTCATCTCTCTTCCCCTCTTTCCTTTCTTTTTCTTAAAGACATTGCTTCACTATATACTCTGACTGTCCTGAAACTCATTATGTGGACTAGGTTGGGCCTGGATCTCATAGCCTGCTTTGCACCCCCATCACTTCCGCCCTTTTACATCCCTTCTTTTTCTCTTCTCTCGTCTCTTCCCAACCCTCTCCTGGCCTCGCTCACTTTCACTTATCTGTTCCCTCCACTCCTCCCCATTCTCTCTTCCTCCATCTCCCCCCATCTTCTCTTTCCCTCTAGTCTGTCTGTCTCCCTTCTCTCCCCTCCCTTCTCCCTCTGTGGTCCTTCCAGGGTTGACTCATCCATCTTGCTTCTCCACCCTCCCTATAGCTGGTGGTAAAGGGTGACCCGAGAGATAACCGACAGCCGGCACCTGGGCAGCAAACGACCCTCAGGATCGAGGGAAACCAGGGGGCCCGAGTTGGCCTGGTGGCCGTGGACAAGGGCGTGTTTGTGCTGAACAAGAAGAACAAACTCACACAGAGCAAGGTGAGCACCTGCATCCCGGAGTCTGACCTGGAGAAGAGTCTGGGGAAACAAGGGTGTGGGGGGTGTTGGGGGTGTCGGGGGTGCCGCAGGCTGAGCTGGGAGTTTGCTGAGGGCTGGATATGAGCCTGTGAGGGACGAGGGCGGCCAGGTTGGGCTTCATGGCAGGTTGAACGAAGCTTTGCCGACCTGGCCTCTCCCCCTCCCACCCCCGCCACCCAACCCATCTCATGCCACCTGCAGATCTGGGATGTGGTAGAGAAGGCAGACATCGGCTGCACCCCAGGCAGTGGAAAGGACTATGCGGGTGTCTTCGCGGATGCCGGCCTGGCCTTCAAAACAAATCAAGGCCTGCAGACTGAGCAGAGAACGAGTGAGAAGAGAGACCAGGGGCTGACAGGAGGGAGGACACGCCTTCACCCCCAGATGCCCACACAAGAGCAGGACCCTGAGAGCAGGAAACTGAGTCCCAGCCCCTCCTCCACCAGCAGCACCTGCCATCCCTGTTTTGTTTAAAAATTGTTTTTAATTGCATTTAATTGAAGTGATGTGTGTATGTGTGTGCATGCTTCTGTGAATGTACATGTGCATGGGTGTGCATGTGTGCATATGTGTGCACGTGTGTCTGTGTGTGCTCACACCACAGCATGCATGTGGAGGTCAGAAGACAACTTTCTCCAGTCACTTCTCAGCTTCCACCACGTGGGTCCCAGCAGTCTAGCAGGTCATCAGTATTAGCTGCAAGCCCCATTACCAACCGAGCCATTTCTCCAGCCTCCATTACTGCTCCCTGAGTCCCAGTCTCTTCTACTGCCAAAAGGGTGCAATCACACCCCAGTATCCCCATCTCACTCTCGGCCCTCCCTCAGATTCAGAGTGCATCAAGCCAGCTGCCCGCCGCCGTCGCTCAGTACAGCTGATGGAGAAGAGGATGGACAAAGGTTAGGAGTCCTCTGCTGATGCCCATCTCCATGCATCGCCCACCCCCATCCTGCTAGAATCCCAAGGGAGGCGGGGAAGGCCCTGCCCCGGGAAGTTCTCCTGATGGCTAAGGCTGACACCAGGTCCGGGCCTCCCACAGCGGGTCAGTACAAGGACAAGGGTCTGCGGAAGTGTTGTGAGGACGGCATGCGCGATATCCCTATGAAGTTCAGCTGCCAGCGCCGGGCACACTTCATCAGCCAGGGGGAGAGCTGTGTGAAAGCTTTCTTAGACTGCTGTAAATACATCACCGCGCTCCGTGAGAAGCACCAGCGAGGCCAAGTGCTGGGCCTGGCCAGGAGTGAGTGGCGTCTCACGGGGTGTCACTGGGGATGGTGGCTGAGGGAGAGGGCACGGCTGTTTGGTGGCTGCACCTGTCTGCTGGAAGAGTAGCCCAAAGACTGTGACCCCAGCCCTGAACCCTGGGAAGACAGAAGGAGGAGGATGGAGGTCAGCTGGGCTTCGTAGCAAGGAAGAGGCTAAGGTAGTGAGGGAGAGCAGGCTGGGGAAGGGGAAGGGGGAGAGGGAGTCCAGGGCATTCCTCACACTGCCTATGCCCCCATCCCACAACCATTCCACGTTGAAGCTGGATGTGGTGGCACATGCCTCTCATTCCAGCACTCAGGAGGCTGAGGCAAGAAGATTACTGCAGATCCCAGACCAGCCTGGGCTACCTAATGAGTTCCAACCAGCTTGGATAATGCTCGTCTTGATTCCAACACATCTGTAGAACATGGTTTTTCGTTTTTATTTCCTGGATGGAGAGAGGAATCCCCACAAATCCCCAATGCATCTGGGACTGGCAGAAAACCCTCACCCCAGGGCTAATGCATTTACGTAGCTCAGAAACGTATGCTAGGGAGCCACCCCAGAGTGGATCTTTTCCCAAACCACATCTACATCTACCCATCCTCAGGTGACATGGATGAGGACATAATTCCCGAAGAAGATATTGTCTCCCGAAGCCAATTTCCAGAGAGCTGGTTGTGGACCATAGAGGAGCTGAAGGAACCCGAAAAGAATGGGTATGGCTCGATGTTCAGGGGTAAAGGTGCTGGCTTCCAAGACTGACGTGGTGGACGGGGAGAACCACTGCCCACAGGTTGTTCCTGACCTCCACCTGAAGGGCAGGACAGAAGGATGCCACACTCTCTCTCACACAAGCAAAGTAAATATATTTTTTAAAAGGGAGGTGAGGCTAGGACATCACTAGTCCACATCCTTGCCCGAGGGCAGAAAGCGTCTTCCCAGACAAGCTAATTTACTTAGGATTTGCTTGACTGCACCTGCTAACTTTCTGTCTCCTCTGGAGTCACCATGGAGGTCCATGGCCTGCAGCCCAGAGCTCCTCTCTGACCTGTCCCCAGGGGGCCTCCCACCTCCACACCCTTCTCCATCCTGTTAGATCTCACCACTTGATTTTTAAACTTCTGCCCCACTCAGAATCTCCACGAAGGTCATGAACATCTTTCTCAAAGACTCCATCACCACCTGGGAGATTCTGGCAGTGAGCTTGTCAGATAAGAAAGGTAAGGGAGGGGCTAGGGAGGGGGCTCAGCGGTGAACTACTCCCTGCAAGCATCTCCCAAGCGCCATCTGCAGGACCAGCAGAGAAAGCAGGGTGTCCTGGTGCCAGCTTGTAATCCCAATGCTGGGGAGACAGGAACAGGAGGAGCCCTGGGTCTTCCTGGCCAGGCAGCCAAGCCGATCAGTGAGCTCCAGGGTCAAGAAGAAAGCCTGGGTCAAAAAATGAGACAGAGGGCCTGAGGAGCTCAGTGGCTAAAAGCATTTACTAATCTTGAAGAGGACGGGAGTTTGGTTCCCAGCTCCCATTTTTGGCAGTTCACAACTGCCTGCAGCTCCAGGGGGATCCGATGCCCTCTTCTGGCCTCCTTGGGTACTGCACTGATATGCACACAGAGACACATGTACATACATAAAATTAAATAAGGTGGAGGAGCAATTGAATATGAAACCCAGTGTCAATCTCTGGCCTCCACATGCATGTGCACATGTAAACACACAGAGGTTGGACACAGCTGGCCGTGATGACCATGTGCATGTTTTAGTCTCTACCTGTCTGCGAATGGGAGCAGCCATGCATGGCCAGCTAGGGAACTTGAAGCAGGAGCCTGGCTGCCCCCACCCCCCTGCACAGCCCTCCCACCTGGACCCTTCACACTGCTCTCTCCACAGGAATCTGTGTGGCGGACCCCTATGAGATCACAGTGATGCAGGATTTCTTCATTGACCTGAGGCTGCCCTACTCCGTGGTGCGCAATGAGCAGGTGGAGATCAGAGCCGTGCTCTTCAACTACCGTGACAACGACAAGCTTAAGGTGGGAGCCAGTCAGAGCTGGGAGGTTGAACAGGTCCTGCGAAACCACCCTCAGCTGCCCCGGTCCCCCCCCACCTGCCCCGGTACCCCCCTCACCTGCCTCGGTCCCCCCTCTCACCTCACCTGCCCTGGTCCCCCCTCACCTGCCCAGGTCCTCCCTCACCTGCCCCAGTTCTCCCTCACCTGCCCCGGTGCCCCCTCACCTGCCCCGATCCCCCCTTACCTGCCCCAGTCACCCCTCACCTGCCCCGGTCCCCCCTCACCTGCCCCAGTCCCCCCTCACCTGCCCCGGTTCCCCCTCACCTGCCCTGGTCCTCCCTCACCTGCCCCGGTCCCCTCTTACCTGCCCCGGTCCTACCTCACCTGTCCTGGTCCCCCCTCACCTGCCCCGGTCACCCTCACTTGCCCTGGCCCCTTCTTCCCCTGTAGGTGAGGGTAGAACTGTTATACAACCCAGCCTTCTGCAGCCTGGCCACCGCCAAGAAACGCTACTACCAGATCATTGAAATCCCTGCCAAGTCCTCTGTGGCAGTGCCTTACGTCATTGTCCCCTTGAAGATCGGCCTCCAGGAGGTGGAGGTCAAGGCTGCTGTTTTTGGCCAGTTCATCAGTGATGGTGTCAAGAAGACCCTGAAGGTCGTGGTGAGTCCTGGGAGGCATCTGCTGCCCCTAGCCTTCAGATCTCCCTGCTGTTGGCCTGGCTCTGAGACACCAAGGATCATAGCAGGGTCCAGGTGATACAGAACTTAGAACTGGCTGGGTCTCGGTGTGTAGAGCCCTGAACTAGTTCATACAAACCTCTGGACTCCGTGCCCAATGGGATATGGCCTGTCATCCTAGCACTGGGGAGGTGGGGCAGGAGAATCATGGATTTGAGGACAGCATGGGTAACTCAATGAGACCCTGTCTCAAATTTTGAAAAAGGGAAAAGTCCTAGGGAGATGGCTCCCCTGGCCAAGTGCTTGCTGTCCAAGCATAAGGACCTGAGTTCAGATCCCCAGAGCCCAAAGAGAAGCCAGAGGAAAAGGATCACTGATTACCGAGACTGTCTCAAAAGAAGGTCAGAAGAAGACATATAGCCCTGACATTTTCACAAGCACACACTCACATACATGCACACAATTTGCACATACTCACCCATGCATGCACACAATACATGCATATGTGTACACACATGCATACACACTACACATATACAAATGCACACCTCACAGTCACACACACACTTACACAGGCATGTATACTCGAACACATGCACACTTATACATACATGTACACCCCAAACACGTGCACTCCCACGTTCACCTGCACATACAAAAATGCTTGCACACTTACACACACTCACACATACACTCACACACACATACACACTCACACATGCACAAACATACATGTAGTGTAAGTTTTTTCCCCTCTTTAACCATTAAAGTGTTCCTGTTACTCATGAGCTAGCCTGGTTACTTTTTATACCGACCTAATTGGTTACAATGTGTCTCTTGTCATTTTATCCATCCTCCTTCACAGCCGGAAGGCATCCGAGTCAACAAGACCATTATTACCCGTACACTGAATCCAGAGAAGTTTGGCAAAGGTGAGGAGGCAGGAAGAGCAGGCAGGGTGGTGTGGGGCACCAGGAAAAGGGCAGGGGGACTGGTGCCATCCACCTCTCTCACTCTCACCCTGCAGAGGGAGTGCAGAGGGAGGATGTGCCCGCTGCAGACCTCAGTGACCAAGTGCCGGACACGGACTCTGAGACCAGAATTCTCCTGCAAGGTAAGATGGCCACTTCCCTGGCATGAGGGTCCAGGCAGGAGTCAGGGCAGCTGGGAGCCAGAAGCTAATGGAGTGCCATCTCATGGAGGAAGGGGGAAGACCCTGCACCAGGATACAGGGTTCAAATCTCATCTCTACTATTTCAAGTTGATTGATCTGGGACTCATTTCTTACCATAATGCCTCCCCATGCCTCAGTTTCCCCCTGTGAAAAATGAGGGCAACGATACTGTCTTAGTCACTGGCCTATCACTGCCCAGAAACACTATGACCAAGGCAACTCTTATAAAGGAAGCATTTAACTGGGACTTGCTTACAGTTTCAGAGGCTTAGTCCACAATCATCATGGTGGGGAACGGACAGGCATGGCGCTGGAGCAGTAGCCAAGAGCTACATCCTGACCCACAGGCAGAGGGAGAAGGAGTGAGGCTGGGCCTGCTGTGGGGTTTTGAACCCTCCAAGTCCACCCCAATGATGCACCCTCTCCAGCAAGGCCACACATCCTAATCCTTCCCAGACAGTTCTACTAACTGAATGTTTATTCAGACGTAGGAGGCTCTGGGGGCCATTCTCATTCAGACACCACAGATACTCTCTGCCTTGTTTTCTGGAAGGGTTGGGCCATAGCAGTTCCAACCCCCACTTTATCGGGAACAGTGTGGTTTGTGTCTGCATGCAGAAGCCTTCTACAGAAGTTAGTTCTGCAAATAGCACATGCTGGTAAAGATAATTAAATGAGAAGCCACACCCTCTGAGTACAGAGGTTCTTCTCCTCTTACCTGTATCCAGGAAGAATGAGAAGGGGGTGTTGTACCCCTCTACAAGCTACCATAAGAGACAGTGCCCACCTCCAAAGTGATTTGGGGATTAAATGAGATGCTATATGGAGCTCTCCAACAGACACTAACAAGGAACTCTAAGCCAGAGCTGTCTGTGGCTGCTACCATTATCTTGACTAAAGGTGAAATTAAATGTCCAAGACGAGGTACAACCTCCCCCTAAATCCACACAGGATTGAAATCCTCCTGCAGTTCCCAAGTCCTAGGCTTCCTCTGGTCAGAGACAGGCCTGACAGGCCTTTTCCTCCACACTCTGCTCCAGGGACCCCAGTGGCTCAGATGGTTGAGGACTCCGTGGACGCAGAGCGGCTGAAACACCTGATCGTGACCCCCTCAGGCTGCGGGGAGCAGAACATGATTGGCATGACACCCACAGTCATTGCCGTGCACTACGTAGACCAGACAGAGCAGTGGGAGAAGTTCGGCCTGCAGAAGAGGCAGGAGTCTCTGGAGCTCATCAAGAAAGGTGGGGCCTGTGCTGGAAAACAGCAAACCGGCTTCTCTTTCAAAGTTCCCTCTGGTCCCCAGAAGCTCTGTCCCTCCGCCCAGAGGCCCCGCCTCTGCTCCAAACCCTCCCTCTCCCCTCCCACCCCCCACATGTCCTTCAGAGATGGCTTCCCTCATGTCTGGTCCCTGGACCCAGACTGAATCATCTTTCCAGAATCTGCGCCCTACTTGAGCACTCTTCCCTCTCTCCATGCTTGTCCCAACCCCTCATAGCTCTCTCTGTCTCTCTCTCTCTCTCTCTCATACTCACTCTCCTCAGGGTGAGCTCCCCACCATGCTCCCACCCCCTACCCCCAGCTCAGCTTTCCTCTTCAAGCCTTCCTTTAAAACCCACTCCCTTCTCAGGACCCTGATCCTACCCACTTTGAACCCTCATCCCACCTCACATAGGTGGCACCCTTGTCCTGCCCTCGGGGCGCCCACTGCCCACCTTAGTCAGGTCAGGCTCAACCCACCCCTTCCTTTAGTGACCCTGCCTACTCTCCACAGGGTACACCCAGCAACTGGTCTTCAAACAGCCCAGTTTTGCCTACGCTGCCTTCAAGAACCGGGCACCCAGCACCTGGTAAGTACAGATGCTCTGTTTGACCTTCTCTGTCTCGACATCCACCTGAGCAAGGCCTGAATCCCTACCAAGAGTGATTTGGCCCCTCTTTGTCTACAGTCAAGGCTGCGGAACTGAATGAGCCTTAGACTCCTTAAAGTAACTGGCTTCAAGCTCTTTGAGCCACCCAATCTGAGTGGCTCGGGCACCGCCCCTCTCTGCTCATTGGTGGGTGAAGATGTCATTCTCTGTCTCTCAAAGTCGATTGGTTCATACCTGGTGTCCCCATAATCTCCACCCCCAGGCTCACAGCCTACGTGGTCAAGGTCTTCTCTCTGGCTGCCAACCTCATCGCCATCGACTCTCAGGTCCTGTGTGGGGCTGTTAAATGGCTGATTCTGGAGAAACAGAAGCCGGATGGTGTCTTTCAGGAGGACGGACCCGTGATTCACCAAGAAATGATTGTAAGAGGCAGGGGGATTCCAGACAGAGATGGGTAGAGGCTCCCAGGAGGGCGAGGAGAGAACACTGCTCCATCTACCTGTTCACTTGGTGGAGGTGGGAGCCGGGTGAATAAATCTGTAAAACACTAAAGTATTGCAAAAATTCAGCAGCTGACAGAACCAGTCACAGGAGGGACATGCATAGTATCATGCTTGCATGGAGACCAGAGAGTCCTCCAGGGCCACTCACTTTTTCTTTTTTCTTTTTCTTTTTTGAGACAGTGTCTCATTATCCCAACTTGGCTCACCAAGTAGACTAAGCTGGCTGGTACTAGAGCCCCAGAGATCTGGCCATCTCTGCCTGTCCAGTACTGGGGTCACAAACACATGCCACCATGCCCCGATATTTAATTTTTTTAAATGTGAGTTCTGGGACATCAAACTCAGGCTTGAGGCTTGAGCCATCTCCCCAGGTCCTACTAAGTGTTTTGGCTCATGATAGTTCACATTTTCTGTAGCTCTGTTGGGGGAGCTCCACCATAGATCAAGGAGCATTTGTCTGTCTGTGGAGTGGCTGACCCGCTTGTGTCCATCCTGTTGGGCAAGAAGCCTTGTGAAGCCTAGCCATCTGTGCTTTTCCTCAACCATTACACCAGGGGCAGCAGTCCAGGGGGACCTCAGTGACACAGAAAGAACAAACAATTCAGTTGATTCACACTAGCGGAGGGAACAGAGCCCAGACTCCCCAAGTCTTCAGGGTACTTGACAGCCAGGTAAAGACGCATAAAGACTCTTCTGCTCCTCCTCACAGGGTGGATTCCGGAACACCAAGGAGGCCGATGTGTCCCTCACGGCCTTCGTCCTCATAGCACTTCAGGAAGCCCGAGAAATCTGTGAGGGGCAGATCAACGTGAGTGTCCTGTCAGCCGCCTGCTGTGGGGAGGGGTGTTCTCGTTTCTTCTCTACTGCCGTGATCGGACACTCTGACCAAAAGCAACCGAGGGAGAGAAGGGTTTCTTTCAGATTATAGCTCTAGATCATGGACATCCCTGGGGGGAGGTTGAGGCAGGGACTCAAGGGCAGGCATGTTTGCTGTTCCATGACCTCATCTCACTCACAGCCAAAGAAATGGTGCTGCTTGCTGCTTCACTGGCAGGCTTAGGCCTTCTTGGACAGCTCAGGACCACCTGCATAGGAGTGGTGCCGCCCACAGTGGCCTTCCCACATCTACTACACTGAAGAGAATCCCCACAGACGACCAAAGGTCCCGCTGATCTAGGAGCTCACCGACTAATGTTCCCCTCTCATACCCCAGGCTATATCAGACTGACAGTTGACGCTAATGAGGAGAGCGGTTGTTGCCTTGAGCTAGAAGGTTTGGCCCTCTCTGCTTGCTAAAAATGGTCCGACGAAAAACCATGATACCTGATGTGCGTGTGATCTCAGAGGTTTTCACAAAAACCTCTGAAAAAGTATTTGACTTTTCCTGGGGAGACACAAAGAAATGTCTATCATCCTAGATAGTGATCAGTACCAAACCAAAAAAAATGATTGTGCCAAGTTCAGCTTGATGAACATTGCATCAAGTTTATTGGGTCACCTATGGAAGCATGGGGACGCAAGGGCAGCTGAATTACCAAAAGGCCCACCCCACCTGGATAATGAGTCACAAAAGCTGCGCGGCTAGAGTTCCCTGCGCAGCATGTGGGCTGGTCTACCCTAGAGACCCTCTCCCCTAGCGGTGGCTTTCTGCATCTCTCAGCTTTCACGAGAGTCCCTAGTTTTGGGGCCTTCTAAGCCTCTAAGTCTCTTGCTGTCTTTCTGAGCTTTATGAACCACTGCCACCCTCTTTGAAGGAATGTTTCAACTCAGCGCAAATAGCTACCCCTCCAAGTTCAATGAGTGTGCAAATGGCAAACCCCTCCTATGGCGAGATGGTGACCATGAAGATGGACGAGGGCTCCAACTGGCATGCTGGATCTGGTTTCTAGTATATGCCAACTTGGGACATTTTATGACATCATTTTGTTTAGTGACAACCTCTGTGGGAGTGTTTACATGACCATAATTCACCCTTGTTATGAAGCAGGGCTCACCCACCCAAGAACCCACGGTCACACACCCTTCTGCACACCCCTAGCGTACAGACTTCTCCAGGCACATAAAAGGGTTCAGCAGAGGGCACCACACTAGTGGCCTCAATGACTAGAGGACTCTTAAAGTCATACAAACCGAATACAGGGGAGTCCCACAGGACAGATTCAGGGGAGCCCCACAGGGCAGATGCCATCCTGGTGGCCCAGGAGTCATTGTGAGGTCCCAACTGCTGTCTCTCATAGAGCCTGCCCGGGAGCATTAACAAGGCAGGGGAGTACATCGAAGCCAGTTACCTGAACCTGCAGAGACCATACACAGTGGCCATTGCTGGGTATGCCCTGGCCCTGATGGGGAAACTGGAGGAGCCTTACCTCAGCAAGTTTCTGAACACAGCCAAAGGTGAGGAATCGCCTCAAGGGGAAGGGGTGTGTGGTTGGGGTAAGGGTCACCTCAAGGGGAAGTGTAACATGAGGGCTGGCTTGTTGGGGTATCTGTTCCCGCCCAGTACCTCACAGCCGGCAAGTCTCAGAGAAAATCAATCACACAGAGATCTCTATAAGTTATAAAGCTGATTGGCCCATTAGCTCAGGTTTCTTGTTAACTCTTATAGCTTATATTAACCCATTATTCTCATCTATGTTAGCCATATGGCTTGGTACCTTTTTCAGCTGTCAGCTCACATGTTGCCTCTTCGGTGGTCTGGGCAGGAATGGCAGAGGGAGCTTCCTCCTTCCTAGCCTTCTCCTATTCTCATTGCCCTGCCTCTACTTCCTGTCTGATTGACCCGCCTATACTTCCTGCCTGGCCAATCAGCGTTTTATTAAAATACATGATTGACAGAATACAGACAATTCTCCCATACCAGGGAAGGTCCTGGACACACAGTGAGCCAGGACGCATGGTTCTTAGCTTAGGAGTGGGGTAGATGGCCCCACACTGAACTGCAGTGGAAGCCTCTCAAGTCTGTTGACTCTTCAACGTAAATAACACAAGAGGCCTGCCGCATCATTCATTCAACCATACCCTGGGCATCCACATCCAAAGGGTGACTGAAGGAGAGCCGGGGGCTGCTGGACTGGAGATGCTATTGAGTTCTTTTCCTGTTTCTGTTATAAAGTGCCCCAGTGAAAGCAACTCAAGGGAGGAAGGCTTCATTTCAGCTCACAGGTGGAATCCATCATAGCTGGGAAATCAAGGCAGTGAGAGCTAATCAGAAAGCAGAGAGGTGCTGGGTTCATTCCTCCATCTTACCCATTCCGGTACCCACCCCAGGGAATGGTCACGATGGGTTCTTCCACACTAGGGGATTGTCTCTCAGGTCACTCAAATTGACAGTCCACACTGAGCACAAGAGAGTTGGACATAAGCGTGGGCGCCCCCCCCCCCCCAGACATGGGGCAGGCCAGCTCCCAAGTCACTCTCAGGTACACAGTGGATGAGAGGCTGGGGTGTTTCCCATGCAGATCGGAACCGCTGGGAAGAGCCCGGCCAGCATCTCTACAATGTGGAGGCCACGTCCTATGCCCTCCTGGCCCTGCTGCTGCTGAAAGACTTCGACTCTGTGCCTCCTGTGGTCCGCTGGCTCAATGAGCAAAGATACTACGGGGGCGGCTACGGCTCCACACAGGCAAGTGGGCTCTGCGCAGGCAAGTGGGCTCCAGTTCCAACGTTTGCTTCCCAGGTCTCCTGGAGGAGACACCAAGACCCAGGCATGTAGCTTCTCTGACTGAGCAGTGCAGGAGAGTCCAGACTAACGGAGAAACTGCATTGTGTGCCTTGTTCCCCAGGCTCCCAATGGCACGCTTGCTCACTGGAGGGTTCCAGATTATATTCTTCATTACTAGACTTCCAATACTCCCTGTTCTCATCAAAATGTTCTAGATCATGTTCCTAGGCCCCCCAACAGCACCCTAACTGGAAAGTTCTAGGTCACGTTCCTAGTTCCATCAGGCTCTTGATGTCCCCCATCACTGGAAGAGTCTAGAACATAGTCTCAATTTTACCAGTGTCCCCCTTTGTCATGTGTGGGCTCTAGATCATATTCATGGGTTCACTATACTCCCAATGTCACCTTATCACTGGGGGTTTCTAGATTGCTTCCTTCCTTCATTCCAGGGGACTTCCAATCTCTCTCTCTCTCTCTCTCTCTCTCTCTCTCTCTCTCTCTCTCGTTTGTGGGTTCTAGATCACATTCTCTGTTTCACTGGGTTCTCGAATGTCACATTCTCCTATCAGTGAATTCTAGACCAAGATTCCAATTCCACCCAGGCTTTCCTGATCACCTTTTGTCGTTGGTGCATTCTATTTCTGTTCTCACCTCCACGAGGGCAATGTATCTTTCTCTAGAACTTTCCAGATGATGGTTTTAGTAACTTAGGGCAAGCTCAGGCTCCAGCTTGATCCTTCTTTGGGCTACCAGTCATTTTTCAGTGTTCCATCCTCCATATCACTTCAGAGCTTGGTGCCTCCGCACTCTGGGTCTATTGTCTTTTTACGAGATGGTTCTAGACTAATTTCTGGCTCACTAAACCCAAGAGTCCTCCCTTTTGATGAGTCTAGAGGTCCTAGACCTTCAGTCTTACACATGGATTGCCACCTGTAAGGTGGCAGGGAAACCTGTTTCTTCGGCACCCCTTGGCTGCAGCTCAGTCCAGGTTGCAGGGAACAAAAGGGAAGCATATATATGTCCTGGTAGATACTGGCGTGTTTTCAGCATTGGCAGCATCTGAACAAAAGCTTGCTCCATTGGAGAATTCTAGACAGTCCTTCGGTGACTAGTGACCTCCGCTAGTCCCTTCATAGTCTGGTGGGTCCTAGGCCACAGGATGACTGATAATCATCCCTGGCCCGAGTTTCTCTCACAGGGAGCTCTGGGACATCCACCCCTTTCCAACTTTATCTTTGTAGTCTCTAGCAGGTTCTGTGTGTGGTGCTGATGCCATAATTCTGACCCATACATGGTTATCTCTCCCCAGCACAGCCTAACCACCAATGAGAATGCAAAGCTAACCATCTTTCTCTCGCATGGGCTCTAGGCCACCTTCATGGTATTCCAAGCCTTGGCCCAATACCAAACAGACGTCCCTGACCACAAGGAGTTGAACATGGACGTGTCCTTCCACCTTCCCAGCCGCAGCGCCCCAACTAAGTTCCGTCTGTCCTGGGAAACCGGCAGCCTCCTACGATCAGAAGAGGTACGGTCTTACCCCTCCCTCCCTTGCTTCCACCTTCCATACCATCCAGCGCTGCAGGAGAGAGGTCAGATGCCTCATGGGAGCTGTATGCGCTCACGTGTATGCATGCCTGTGTACAGGTGTGGGTACATATGTGGGGGGGTGCGGAGGACAACCTTACATACATTCCTTAGGTGCTGTCCATATTACTTGTTGAGCTAAGTCTCTCACTGGGCTAAAATTTACCAAATAGACTAGACTAGGTGGCCAGCAGGCCCCAAAGATCCCCCTGTCTCTGCCTCCCCAGTGCTAGGATCTTAAGCCCATGACCAGTTTGTTTTACATGGATTCTTGGGATCAAACCCAGGTTCTCACATTTATCAGACAAGCACCTCGCCTACTGGGCCATCTTCCTGGTCCTGAAGCTGGCTGTTAACTTCCCCTCTTCTCTCCCCCCAACCCTGTGCAGACCAAGCAAAATGAGGCCTTCTCTCTAACAGCTAAAGGAAAAGGCGAAGGCACATTGTCGGTAAGGCAGGGGAACCCACACCTGCTGGGTCCATCCTTTTCTCCTGCCCCCTCTGCCTGTCCTCAGCTGTTCTATGCACTCATCCCCCCAGGTAGTGACAGTGTATCATGCCCAAGTCAAAAAAGACAAAATTGCCTGCAAGAAGTTCGACCTCAGGGTCACTATAGCACCAGCCCCTGACACGGGTAAGAAGAATGACCCCCACCCCCGTCACCTTCCGACCCCAGTCCTGCCCCATCCCTGCTTTCCTCCTGAACCAGGACCCAAAGACACCGCATATCCTTCTGCTTCTGTTTGTAGCCAAGAAGCCCGCAGAGGCCAAGAGAACCATGACCCTTAGCATCTGCACCAGGTGAGGATCTGGGCCCCTGGGGCTCATCCTGGTTACTCTCTCCCTCTGGAAAGACTTGACTGTCTTCGTGGTAGGTCAGAGCCCCTGCTTTGGGCATGCCACAAGCACTGTAGCTATGAGTGGCATCCTCAGTTCATCTCCTCCTCTGTTCACTTCTTCATTTGCGCTGGCAAGCTTGCTATCCCCCCGGGCACACCACACATCTCTCACAAGACCATTCCCTCCATCGCCCCTCCTGCCTAGCGCCTTTGGCGTCACATTCAGACTTCACTGCCGGGGCGGTTTTCACTTTTCTTATTTGTGACCATCTCTGTTGGCCTATTTCCTCTCTCCGTGATCATCTGAGCGTGCGTGCATATGCATGTGTTGTGTGTCTGAGGGTCTGTGTATGTGTGCACATGTGTGTCTGTGTGTATACGTGTACATGTGAGTATGTGAGTGTGAGTTTGTGTATACGCATTTTTCATGCAACAGCTTACACATGGAGGTAGGAAGATAATTTGTAGGAGTTGAATCTCTCTTTTCACCATGTGGGGTCCTGGTATTGAACTCAGGTTGTTAAGCGTAGTGGTTAGCACCTTTACCCACTGAACCATCTCCCTGGCCCTCCACCTTGTTCTTTGAAACAGGTCTCTCGTTGGCCTGGAATTTGCCAAGTACACCAGGCTGGCCAGGCAGTGAGCCCAAAGATCCTCCTGACTGTGCCCCCAGGGCTGGAACTACAAGTGTGTTCCAGGAAGATAGCTCAGTGATTAATGGCACTAGACACCATGGTTGATCTCTTCTTTTTAACATGGATAGTGGGGGATTAAACTCAGGTCCTTGTGTTTGCACAGCAAGCACTTTACTGATTAAGCTGCCACGCCATCCTTCCACGCTGCCACGCCAGCCCTCCACACTGCCACACCGGCCCTCCACACTGCCATGTTGGCCCTCCACCCCTCCACACCATCATGCCAGTCATCCACACTGCCACACCAACCCTCCACACTGCCACACCAGCCCTCCACACTGTCACACCATCCCTCCCTCAGTGCCATGCCAGCCCTCCCCACTGCCATACAGCCCACCACACTGCCACGCCAGCCCTCCACACCTCCACACCAACCTGCCAGTCATCCACACTGCCACACCATCCCTGGGATGACTCATTAAGTAGCCCAGGCTATCCTCAGCCCATAATCCTCCCACCTCAGCCTCTGACAGCAGCATGAACCATGATGCCTGTCTGTATCTACTTACATTGCCCTCAGACAAGTGTTTCCTAGACCAAACTTCTTCTTCATTGCTGGGCGGGAAGTAGGAGCCTGGAGTGAGACCCCTCATCCAGACACTGACCCTGGGTGCTACCCCCATCCTGAAATCACACAACCTTTTATTCTGCCATGGACAGGTACCGGGGAGATGTGGATGCAACCATGTCCATCCTGGACATCTCCATGATGACTGGATTTGTTCCAGACACGAACGACCTGGAACGGGTAGGGAGGCTTGGGTCTGGGGCACAGAAGAGTCCGAGGTCTGGAAGAGGCTGCGGGGAGACAAGGAGGGATTTTCACCAACTCTGCTCTTCCCCAGCTGAGCACAGGAGTGGACAGATACATCTCCAAGTACGAGATGAACTCAGCCTTCTCTACCAAGAACACCCTCATCATGTACCTCGAAAAGGTACTGTTGCCTCAGGGGGGCTTCCATGCCTCTCTTCCTTCCCCTTTCTAGCTGAGTTTCTCTCTCCATTGTGACAGCTAGCTCAGGCTAGCCCCAGGCTTTGGAATACAAGATCTGTGCTGTGAGGTGGTCAGAGAGTTTGTAAAGTAAGGTGACCAGCCTAAGACTGTTGGCCGTCTCCCCCATAGTCTAATTGGTGTGGGTAAGTGACAAGAGACAGAATTCTGCTCCATATGCAGGGACCAGACTCCCTCCACATTTGGGTCTGCCATCCTTAGGATTTTCGCGTTTGTAACAATAGCCTAAGAAAAGTGAACTTTGAGTGAGTTTGATAGTGAATGCAGGGTCTCTCCGTGTGGTCTGAACTGTCCCCAGTGATAGAGGTATGTCACCGTACCCGGCCGTCTGTAGTGTTTCCTGAGCACTGTACAGTGCCCTTCACGTCGTTCTCACAAAACACCTGAGGTGGTGTGACATAGAGAGGGATTTAGCTCAAAGCTTTGAATAAGAACAGCCGGAGACTGAGTGATCCCAACTATTTAGCCTCTAACAAAAGCGTCTGGGCGTGATGGCCAGAGAGAGCGCAAGGATAAAGTCGCCCACTGCAAGCAGGGCCAAGAGAAGTCCAGGAAGCCCACTCGTGTTTATAATGACATCACAGTAACAGAGTCGCTCCACCGAGACCTGGCCAGCTCCTCTCAGACGGGCATTAATCCCCTATGACCCAGTTATCATCCCTAAAGGTTTGGTCTATTTTATGCCATTATATTGTGGCTGTGGTATGAATGAAGAGAAGTCGTATTCAAACAGCAGCAGGGAGACAGTGACCAGCTGGCCGGAGCTCTGAGGCTGCAAACATTCATTGATGCTGATTCATCCCACACCTTCTAGAGCAGGGCTCCTCAACCTTCCTGACACCACAACCCTCTACTGCGCCTCCTCACGTGGTGCCGACCTCCAACCATAAGATTTATTTTATCGCTACTTCATAACTGAAATTTACTAGTGTTATGAATCATAACGTAAATATCTGTACTTTCCGATGGTCTCAGGTGACCCCTGTGAAAGGGTCATTCAACCCCCAAAGGGGTTACAACCCACAGGTTGGAAACCACTATTCTAGAATATGCTTGGTCCCACAACTCTTCATGGTGGTTCCAAGGGCTCCCTTATGACACTCACTGACCAGCTCCATTCTTCCCCTCAGATCTCACACTCCGAAGAAGAATGTCTATCCTTCAACGTTCACCAGTTCTTCAATGTGGGACTTATCCAGCCCGGGTCGGTCAAGGTCTACTCCTATTACAACCTGGGTGAGCAGCCAGCGAGGACTGGATATTGGGTGTTCTGGATGTTCAAGGAACCTGGAGATCTGAGCATCAGATCTGGCAGCACCAATGATCAAAACATTGGGGGTCCTGGGGATCCGTGTGCTGAGGTTCTTTGGGTCCTAGGAATAGAAGAATTGGGAGACTCGGAGTCCAAGGATTTGCAGGTTGGGGTCTGAGGGTCCCAGAGACCTAGAGGTTGGAGGTCTGAGGGTCACAGGAATCTGGAGGTTGGGAGGGCCTGAGAATCCAAGGAACCTAGAGTTTTGACATCTGAGTGTCTCGGGGCTCTAGATGGAGTCTCAAGACAATACCGTCTAAAGGAGGGGTGTGAGGTTGGGGACCCAGCGTCTCGGGGCTAAGTAGACTCAAACATTGGGCATTTCCTAGCAGGAACGGTCCCCGAGGTGCAGTCCCTGGCCCTCTGACTTCTCCTCACCTCTCCCCACAGAGGAATCGTGCACCCAGTTTTACCACATGGATAAGGAGAATGGACTGCTGAGCAAGCTCTGCCACAAGGAAATGTGCCGTTGTGCTGAGGGTGGGTACCTGGAGGGTGGGCACCAGGAGGGTGGGCACCAGGATGATGGGCACCAGGAGGGTGGGCACCAGGAAGGTGGGCACCAGGAGGGTGGGCACCAGGAGGGTGGGCACCAGGAAGGTGGGCACCAGGATGATGGGCACC